TGGAGAAAATATATAAATTGTCAATGATTTAATTTTACATTGATCCACAATCAACACTCTTTGCACCAGCAGTCAGAAGTCAAAAGATATGTTGCACTGGGAAAATGTGCAGTCAGGGACTTCTCCAAAGGGCTGAAAAGCAAGGATGTCAGTTTAAAGACTAAGGTGTGCCTGATCCAAGACATAGTCTTTTCAATTACTTGCTATGCATCTGAAATTTGGACAATGAATAAAGATGTCAGAAGAACTGATGCTTTGGGGTTGTGGTATTGGAGAAAAGTATTAAATATCCCAAGGACTGCCAAGTAGATATGTCTTGGAGAAAGTGCAGCCGGGTGTTCCTTAGAAGAAAGGGTGGTAAAACTTCAGCTTACATACTTTGGGTGTGTTACTAGGAAGGATCAGTCCTTAGAAAATGATATCATGCTCAGAAAAGTGGAGAGTCAGCAAAGGAAAAGAACACCTTCAATGAGATGGATCGACACAGTGACTGTAGTAATGGGCTTAAGTGTGGCAGAGATGATGGCACAAGATAAGGTAGGGCTCAGGGTCATTGTTTATGGGGTCACTGTAAGTCATAGTCTAATCAAATGGCATCTAACAATACTGCTAACCCTTCCTGATGACAAAAAAGGTCAGAGTAGGGTGGGGAGGGGAAACTCACTATAACCCCCTCACACAGTATGAATTAAATTGTAATGAGTTCAGTTCATATCTGTTACTTGAGTAATAGAGACTATAAGAAATGAGGTAATATGGCCATGTTTCCATTCATTAGGAAATCTGAGTCACTCTCAGGCCATGAAGAGAGGAACTCTGATTTCTAGATCTATCCAATTTGAGAAAGTATGTGATCCAAAGGTGTAAGCCAGTAGAGAGGAGAGAACAGTGCTTTAAACACAGTCATTTCAATCTTACCCAGAAAGAGCAAAATCTTTTTTACTCAGAAACACTGTGTGTGCTCTATGAGAAAAAGATGGACATTTTTCCCCTGTGTGATTTACTGCCTCTAAAAACCCCAACTATATAAAACCAGCACATTATGATACATTTATCCCAAGAAATAACCAATAAGCAATACAGGGAGTAAAAAGAAGGCTGAATCAAAGAAAGTAAAGGTAAGAGTGAGGAAGAAGGGAAAATAAAGGAGGCGAGGAAGTCTAGTTTGCAGTTTAAGGACAAAATAAATGTGCAGGAAGCAAAGATACCTTGAAGGTGTGAGAGAGTGCTCAGTGGTCCTAGTATTTATTCTCTCATTTCTAGAATGTATTTTCATTTTAGTTCAGATTCACATGTGTGTCTTTAACATAAATCTGTCTTGTGAGCAGGTAACTTAAACTAGCTAATTCGAAACGTGCAAACAAAAAGACATGAAAACAGAAATTGGAGCAGTGATTTGGTTACACAAAAGTAAACCTTGGCACATTCTGAGTGAGTTATTAACAGAGATTGTGGCCTGCTGACACAGCTATGAAGCTGTTCAAGAGGCCATGTGCCTCACCAGAGTGAGGTTTTTATAATGTGGCAACTCCTGGAGTCATTTCCAAATCGATGGCAGTTAGCAATAGCAAGGATCTGAACAGTGAGGCTGATGGCTGCTTTTCATAGCACCAATTGAGAAAAGTTTGTTGTCTTGTCCTCAGTGACTTTATTAGAAAAGATGAACTGTTTGTAACCATTCTCTGAAAGCAATGGTATCATATTAATTTTCCATTGCATCAGTTTTCCATCATCCTGCTTAATCCCATGTTGGCAAAGATTAAGACTGACAATGGAATGGAGATGTTGGGATGATCTAGAAGAGTAGCTAAATCCCAACTCTGTGGTCTCAAACATTTCCTTCTGTGCCTTCATGCCAAAATCTGAAGAATTTTTGCTGCATGAAGAAGCAGCTGTAATTCAGCAGAAGCCCAGAGGCAGTTGCTCTGCCCTCCCCAGCACTAGTTTTCAGGGCAGGACTAAAATGGAGGATAATATGGAGGGAGGGTCTGTTTGCAACAGGGCCTAGTGGGAGTGGTCATCTAGCTAAGATGTCACTGATAGGAAAGCAAATGACAATCTGAATTCTGCAAGACTGTTATCAGAGAAAAATCCAGAAACCTCAGATCAATATGGAAGGAAGTTTAGGCTCCTTAGAAAGCTTCTAGATTTGAGCACAAAGAATGAACAGACCCCACCCTGGGAGAGTGGATTCCTGCAGTGGAAAGTTTCCCCACACCTTGGTCATACTGCTACTAAGGAACTCACTTTACTGCAAAAAAAAAGTCAGATGACAGCTGGATGCCCAGAGGATTCACTGGGCCTGCAGTGAGCCCCCTTGACTGTCACTTATTGTCCGTACATGACACACATTGTAAGGATAAGTTCTATTTTCAAGGGGACAAGGCAGCATAGACTTTATTTTTAAGTTTTGCTAAATAGATTCTGTAAAAGCTGTCATTCAAAGACTAACAAAGAAATGCCAACAAGAAATTTTTTTAATCTCATTACCTAGAAATTTAAAACTTCTACAGAACAAAACTATTATTGTTGGTGTTCAGTGTTGTTGAGTTCAACTCATAGAAACCCCAGAACAATAGATCTGAAACCTATCCGATCCTGTGCCAGTCTCATAATCTCTGACACATTCAAGTCCATTGCCACAGACACTATGTCAATCCACCTGGTTGCAGGTCTTCATCATCTTTCTACCTTTCCAAGCAAGCATGCAGCCCTTCTCCAAGGAATTGCCTCTCCTCACAACATGCACAAAATATGTGAGAGAAAGAATCAGTATCTTTGCCTCAAAGGAGTACTCTAATTGTACTTTCTCCAAGACATATCTGTTTATTCTTTTGGCAGTCTATGGGATATACAGCAGGCTTCTCCAACACCACAGTTTAAAGGCATCAATTCTTTTGCCATCTTTATTCATTGTCCAGCTTTCAGATGCATATCAAGTGACTGAAAAGTCTAAAACCTGAATCAGGTGCACCATAGTCCTCAAACTGACATCACCGCTTCTAAATAATTTGAAGAGATCCCTGACTATAGACTTTCCCAGTGCAAAACTAGGATGTACAAAAAAAAAAGAGAGAGAGAGATGTCCAAAGGAATATCTGTATCACTTAATACTTAATAAAACAAGACCTGCATGTTTGATTTACAGATAAATATTACAAGAAAATGAAAAATGAAAGAGAAAAATGATCAAACAGTATGAACATGTAGTTAACAGAAAAACTGACACATTAGCCTATTGTTGATGGTCAAGAGATTCCTGAAAATATATTTAAAATAACTAATTTTTTTATAATAAAAAAATTTAAATGTGAGATCATTTATTTTACTTCTTATACTGGCAAAAGATGACACGTTTGGTGATACTTAAGTTTGGTGTAAATTAGTACAGTCACTGAATGTCAAAGCTCGAAATATCCATTATTTTTATCCAATGATTTCACTGCTAAAGAGCTGTATTAAAAACCTGATCACGCCAGCACCAATAGCAAAGTTCAACAGGACAACAAGCGACAAATGCTGGCGAGGTTGTAGAGAAACTGGAACTCTTATTTACTGTTAGTGGCAGTGTCAAATGATACAGCTGCTATGGAAAACCTTCTGGCTCTTTCACAAAAAGTTGTAAATAAACAAACCATTTGATCCAGCAATTACACTACTGGGAATAAACCCTCAAGAAACCAGTGCCACAATTCAAAACAGATGTGTACATGTCCATGTTTATTGTTGTGTTATTCACAATAGCAGAGAGATGGAAGCAACCCAAGTGCTTATCAACAAACGAATGGATAGAAGAATGGATGAATGCTGGTACATTCACACAATGGAATATTATGCAGCATTGAAAAACAACAGAATTATAAAGCATTATACAACATGGAGGATCCTGGAGGACATTATTCTTGCTGTTGTTATGTGCCATCGATTCACCTGCAACTGATAGCAACTCTGTGTACAACAGCCCTAAAACCTGCTCTATCCTTTGCCAATCCTACTGTCTCTGACACACCTACCCCCATTACCCCAGTCCCTGAATCAATCCACCTCACCGAGGGTCTTCCTCTCCTGCATGGTCCCTCCACCCTCCCAAGCATGATGTTCCTCTCTCAGGACTGGTCCCTCCCTAAAGAATGTCCAAAGTATGACAGATGAAGCTTCAGAATCCTTGCCTCTAAGGAGCAGCCTGGTTTCACACTCTCCGGGATGAACTTGTCTATTCTCTTAGCAGTCCATGATATATCCACTACTCTTTTCCAGCACCACAGCTCAAAGGCATCAGTTATGCTCAGTAAAAAACGGACAAATAATGTGTAACACTGTTGTTACAGAATAGGACAGGTAGAGGGTGGGTGAGCAGAGTATGGGAAAAGAGTAGATAGATAACGAACATTGCAGTAGAAGAGATGAGGGGAAGGACTGTCCTGAAGGAATACATGATTTGGCATTATACATACGACAACGATCTGGAAGAAGGGCTGCTGGGAGGGCTAGAGGAACGGGGAGGGAAGGAGGGAAGAAAATGTAAACAAACAAAAAAAAAAAAATACCTGGTCACAAAACCATACTATTATATGCATTTGTTTATGACAGCATTATGTATAATATAGCCCCAATTCTCCCTATCTCCCACACACAAGAAACTGGAAACAACCTAAATTCCCATTATTCATTTACTAGTTTTATAAGGAACTCGTTCAATGTTGATACGGAAATAAACCCAAGAGATATTATTAAATCTAAAAAAACAAACAACCAACCAAACCACAAAGAAGGAAGATGAGGGAAAAGAGAAGGAAGAGAAGTTTCGAATAGTGTGTAGTTTTGAATAGTGTGTATCAGGTAGTTTCTCTGTGGAGATAAAGTATGTGTGCTGGTAAAGGTATACCTTTTTAGAACTTGTTTAAATATGGCTTTTTAAGAGTGCCTTTGTTCAAATTAGGGAGCTCTGGTGGCATAGTTTGTGTGGAGTTGCTTTCCTAATATAAAGACAATGTCTCTGGTGGTTCGAATCCAGCAGTGGTTCTTTGAGAGAAAGATGAGCATCCTCCTTAGTTGTTTTTTTTTTAATTGTACACTTATTTTATTACCTATCTGTGATTCATGCTTTTATCCTGAACTTAAGGAAAATTAGTATTTTCTTCAGTTTTATGTAATTAAGTACAATGTAATTTTAAGGATTTTTTCCATAATGTATCCATTACTTGAGTTTTTTCTGGATTATTTTAATTATTAATTTTAATGAAAATTTACAGAGACTTTGGATTTCCATTCGTTCATTGAAGCATCCTCCTTCTGTGAGATTTACATCCTTGGAAAGCTGCTGGAAGATCAGTTATGAATAAATTACAATCTGAAGGCAATGAGAGTTTTTTGTTGTTCAAATTAGAAAATGTGCTGCTTCTAGTGAGTGTACAATGCCCAGGACTAGGACACACATCTTGGCAAATAAAGGAGGACAGATTTCAGCCTCCATTTGTCCCCACACCCCAAAAGGTAAAGTTAGGACCTGAAAAGCTGGAGGTGCCATGTTCCACTATTATAAATAGGAGCTCTTTAGTTTACAACTAAGATTTTTCAAAATCACTTGCAATTTTCATTGTTGTTTGTGTAATTGAGTCACAGAACTAACTTATAGCAGACCCTCTAGTTGGTTTTTCAGAAGCGAAAAATGGAAATGGCTAAAAATGTCCAACTTTCTCCTGTGGAGAAGTTGGTAGATTCAAACCATGGAGCCTTTGGCTTGGCAACACAGCTCCTTACCACTAAGCTACCAGAGTTCCTTTACTGAATTATAGTCACTATTCTTTGCCAATGCCATAATTCAAATGCATCAATTCTTCTTCACTATTTCTTCATTCACTGTCCAACTTTTGCAAAGACTATGGCCTGCATAAAATATTCCCAAAATAAAAAGAAAGAAAACACCATATATCTTGGGTTATATGCACTTAAAATCCTCAAAGTGATCTCTTTGTTGGAATGTTAAAGAGGTCTTTTGCTGCAGATTTGCCCAGCACAATACATCATGTGATTTTTGGGGTTCTGCCTCTATGGATGTTAATTGTGGTCCATGTAAAATGATGTCCTTGGCAACTTCAATATCTTTTGTGTTTATCATGACTCATTTTTTGTGTTTATCATGGGCTCATTGGTCTAGTTGTGAGAATTTTTATTTTCTTTATGTGAAGAGGTCATCCATACTAAAACCTGTATTCTATTAGAGGCATATGATTAAATATATAATATAGGGTTATTAAGCATTGTTTTTTTGGCATGTAGGAGAAATATTTCCTTGACTTGTATGGGTTTAGATTGCTCCTGCAGCAAAATATTGTTCGTCAGTGTGGTGATGGAGTAGTTATGTAGAGGAGACAAGCTTCTGAGTTCTCTTGGAAACTCTAGTAAGAAGATAACTCATCAAACAAACATTCTTCTAAATTTTTGTAATGGATGTTCACTCTTGAATATATAACACTTGTGTGTCGGTGCTGGAGACAGGCATGATCTTCTTGAGGATTAGGGGGAGTCTGGATAGTTCTGCAGGCTCAAGGGCCTTGGGAGTTATTGTTATAAAGCAGGTCCTAGGGTGATTAGCATGATCTCCTTATCCAAGGCACAACCTCTCCTAACAACAGGCCCAAGATGTGTGAGAAGAAACTTCACTATCCTTGTCTCTAAGGAGCACTCTGACTCTACCTTCTCCAAGACATATATGTTTGTTCTTTTGATAGTCCATAGGATATTCAGTGTTCTTCTCCAGCATCACAGTGCAAGGACATTGATTCTTCATCTATCATCTTTAGTTACTGTCCAATTCTCAGATGCACTGGAAAAACCAGGGCTTGAACCAGTGACCTCTTAATCTTTAAACTGACATCACTGCTCTTCTGGATTTTGGTGAGGCCCCTGACAGCAGACTTTCCTAATGCTATACATATCCTGATCTCTCCTGACTGATGATACCAACGATGTTGATTGTGGATCCATGTAAGATGAAACTGATGAAAATTTCAATTTGTTCTCTATTATAATGTTACTGGCCCAGTGGTGAGGATTTTTGATTTCTTGTTGTTGAGATTGAATCCATACTGAAGGCTGTAGTCCTGGATCTTAGGCAGCAAGTGTCTCAAGTCTGTCTTACTTTCAGCAAGCAAGGTTGTGTCACCTGTCTGATGAAGTTGTTGATGAGCCTTCCACCAATTCTCAATGAGATGGATTGGTACAGTGACTGAGACAATGCACTCAAGTGTGTTGGGAATGATAAGGATGGTGCAGGATAGGACAGGAATCAGATCTGCTTGAAACAGGGTTGCTATGAATCCTACTCAACTGATGGCACCAACCAACAACGATGTGTAATTCAGAGACTGCACAGTGGTCCAGGAAGGTAAGAACATGATAAGGTAAATGGCAGTAGGATAAATCGAAACAGCTGCTCAAGAAGGGAAAAGAACCACTATCAAGTCAAGGCCTCAAAACTAAGTCAAGACTAACCTGACACTAAAGCCATTCCTTTTAGACAAATAACTTAGAATATAAACAAAATATCCCTAAGGATATCCACCAGTCCTCAAGGGGACTGGCCAGTCTCAACAATCTGCTCAGGGATTGGCGAGTCTTGCTACTGAATTGAGCAACCCAGTAGCGAGAGACAGACAGATCCTCCACCACTGGAACAGCAGCAAGAGCATTAAGGTTGCTCTTCCTACTCCAGCTACCCTGTGGCAGCAATAGCATGGTGAAACTGAAGACCTGATGTGAGATGGGCCCGTAGGAGCAGAGCCAATATTGGCAAGACTGAGAACTTTGTTGGACAACTAGGGGTGGGAAGCAGGACTGACAATTCGGGAACATTGGCCTAAAGTCATGAAGCTCAAGGCTGAGAGGTGCCTCTGTGCACATTTCAGGAACTGTCTTGACTGTATTCTGCTATTAACCTGGATTATAACATTTTAATCCCCCCCCAAAAAAAAACCAAGGTAAATGTTTCTTTAAAGAATCAATTACAGGAGATCAAAGGTCAACACTTAGAAAAAAGCAAAAATGAAAAGGCAAGGGGTGAGGAGTAGAGAAACTGGAAGAATGGAAATAGCGCAGGTGGGGTGCAAAAGTCAGAGAGCATTGTAGCCAAGGTCATAGAACAATTTGTGTATCATTTGTTGAGTGGGTATCAATTTATTGTGTTGAAATCTTACCTAAAGCATAATAAAATATTTTTAAAATAAGAGTTGATGTCAAGACACCATTTTAAAAAATTGCTAAGAAAGTAGCCCCAAATCAAGAGGATGGGATATGCTCTTAGGCTTTGCTTGTTTCTGTTGTTGCATGCTTTCTTTTGTAGCTCTTTCACCCCTTCTGCAACCTGTAGCATTTACTACAGTTAAGGAATGTAGATGGTGAGAGAAAAAGTTACTTTCAATTTGAACACTGTGTTCCTGAGATAAGTTGTGTTTAGGTAAAAATAGGCAAAACATAAAATAGTACCCAACTGATGATCCCTTTTAGAGAGAACTTCTTCAGTGGGTAGAAGAGTGATAATATCATGCTGTTTTAAAGTTGTAAAGAGACAGCTAAACTCACACAAGTAAATAAAATAAAGAATAAATTTTGTTAAAAATTTATTAATATGCAATTGAAAAGCAATCTGATAATTAGAAATTAAAGTTATGAGAAGATATAGAAATTATTAGAATCATTATTATTTGTATAAACCAAATACTTTTATACTCCAAACTTTCTTGCTTTCTTTTAAACAAAATTTTTATTTTATACTGGTTTACTTACAAAGTTGGTATACTTTGTTTTTCACACCGAATCTTTCCCATTTACATAACCCACCCCTCCCTCCACCCATCAAATTGTGTGACTTTATGATTGCCAGCCTCCTCCCCTGGTTCATCCTCACCCCTCTGCTCCTCCCTTCCCCCCTTAGATATTTTCTTAGTTATACATCTTTTATTATCTATTTCTACAGTAAAGGTCTTATCCAGAATTTTCATAGTTATCAGAGACATCAAGCTCAACTGTCATAACACTATCAACAGAGACAATGTAATATATGCTACTTTGGTGAGTAGTGACTGGGGTCTTAAAAGGTTTTGAATGGCTATCTAAAGATACAATTATTGGTTTATCTCCATTTAGACCAAAGAAAAATGAAGACTCTTCATCCAGAAGACTAATGGACCATGTGAATTTCAGTCTCAAGGACCCTGAGACCAGAAGAACCAGATGGGCCCAACTACCACTGGTGACCACTCTGAAAAGAATCTCAACAGAAGGTCCCTGATAGAGTGAGAGAAAACTGTGGAACAAAACTAGAAATCATAAAATAGACCAGGCTTTCCTATTTGATAGTAACTAGTAGAACGCTTGAGACTATGATGCTTAATCAACTTTCAAGACCAGAACTGACTCATCTCTGTAATTCAGCTTTCAGTTAAGTAAGAGATAAGACTGACAGGTGCTCAATAACACCTGATAAGGAGCATATTCTTTAGAACAGTCAACCCTAAAAGATGAAAAGGGTAGCATTTGCCCAGGGATCAAGCATTTGTCCAGATATCAAGCAGAAAGTTAAGAAATAATAATGAATGGAAATGAAAAGCACCAGAAAGGTGGGAAGAGTGTCTTTACAATGAGGATTATAATCAGTATCATGAAATGTAAAGAGTGTGAACTGTTGGGTGGGTGGAAAATCAATTTTCTCTATAAATACTCATTCAAATAATAAGAGAAAGTTAATTAAAAATTTAACGCTATTGAATTTAATATCAGTGAACCTATTTGATATTTAAGTAATTGTTATTAAGATTTAACATACACTATGATAGGAATTGATGGTATACCAATTGACGTATTTAAACTAACAGATACTGCCCTGGATGTGCTCACCAAGTTGTGTCAAGAAATCTGGAGGACAACCACTTGGCCAACTGACTGGAAGATATTGATATTTGTTCACATTCCAAATAAAGGTGACTCAACAGAGTGTGGAAATTATCAAACAATATCATTGATATTACATGCAAGCAAGATTCTGCTGAAGATTATCCAAAAACGACTGCAACAGCACATCAACAGAGAACTGCCAGAAGTGAAGGCTGGCTTTAGAAGGAGTCGTGGTACTAGAGATATTGTAGCTAATGATAGATGCATCTTGGCTGAAAGCAGGGAATACCAGAGGA